GGTAGGTGCAAAGCAACAGCCATTCATATAGTTAATGACGTGAGTAATTCAAGTCCGGTGCAAAAACGCATGATTGCACTGGCCCGCCCGGTGTGTTCCAGCCTGGGTATTCTTCTCAGTTCCTGCTTTCTGAATTAATTTTTAGCTTCCATGGTAGTATTTTTCATTGCTAGCGTTTGATTTATTTTGTTGCTTATCCCTAATATGTGTCATGAAAATGAATGTGAGTTCTTTATTTTTTGTAGAAATCCAACAATTATTTTGTTTTTTAACTTTCAGGTCTACATATTTAACAATAAATTGATCTCATTGAGAAATCTGACCGATAAAAATGGACAAAAAGGGCAATTTTTCGGTGCTGCAGTTGCAGCTACTGATCTCAATAACGACGGGTAAGTCATTTTTTCTGTTGGTTCATATATTTCTCACTACTGTTTTTATAGGCTGTTCAAAATTTGGTCTGTGAAGTAGTACAGCCACGAAACATGAAAAATAAGCTCTTTTTTGACAGATAACAAATACCAAGACTACTAAAATCGCCTATGGCTATTCCTGCAGTGTTCCCAAGTGTTGAGTGCAATTATGCCAGGTTCTTGGGATGCAAAATGGGTACATTTTGCTTTTTCAAGTTTTAGGTTATAATGGACATAGTGCACCCTGACTTGCGATGTTTTGGCCAGCGTGCTGCTTTACAGATAATAGCCCCACACAGTCATTGCTCCTGCTGGTTTTTGTAATAAATCTGTAATGCTAATATAGAATTCTTAAATCATCTTTTTACAAGTAGCCTTTGTTGTGGAATGCGCGAGTAGCTCTGTTATCTACGGATGATGGCGGGAGAGCAATCACTTGACGTGCAGGAGTAGCACCCCGGCTTCTGCCAAGGGTTATGGGATTTTATCTTTTCAACTGCAAGGGAACGAATGTGGCACAGTTTCAGCTACGATGATATAATTGTGGGCTCACCGTTTTACACTGATTACAAAACAGTCATGGATGTGAAAACTCAGGAGCATAAGCCTCGTTACGACATCGGCAAAGTGATGGTTTTCTTCCAGGGACCAGATGTTAGTAGATTCTTTTGCGCTCATCCAATAGAAAACTGTTTGTATGCTACTATATTGTGGCCGACATGCTTCGGAAAATGCTGTAAACGCATGTTCCTGAAGGGTATGCCGATGAATTATTCCGTCTAGCTAGCACATACTTTTTCAGTCCTCAAAAAATTGTTTGCATTTTTAAGAAAGTTATTTTGTTTTATTGTTCATAAAGCATCAGATCTTCAGCATGATTTCCCAAAATGGGAATCCCTTTTGGGGCATACCGAGTGGTCACGTTTTGGATGGTCGATTGCAGCTGCTGGGGATTTGAATCAGGATGGATATAATGGTTAGCTTTTTACAATTCTCTTTGCATAATGCTCTTTGAACACAAAACTGTCCCCACTAATATATACTCTGTTATACATTGCGTTAATTTTTAAAGTTTGTATGAAGGTGCCGGCACCTTTTCATGTTTGGCACTGTTTTGAGTTTATTTGATCAGTTTTCTCTGCAGTATGTAAGGTTCCTGCAGATTTCATTGTCGGTGCGCCATACGATGGTGATGATCATCGAGGAGCTGTTTATGTATATCATGGTGCCAAAAATGGTGTACGTAGTGAGCCAACACAGAAAATTGACGCACGAAAAGTGAATGCTGATTTGAGAACTTTTGGATTTTCTCTTGCTGGTGGCAAAGATATCGACAAAAACCAGTATCCAGGTTATTTAATTTAA